CGAGGCCCTTCTAACGTGCCGGCCGGCGGATTGAAAGACGCCGCCGCCACAATGCTTTCCCGGAATGGTCGGCCTCCGGCCTGGCACCACCGCCATGGGCACACCCGGCAGACAGTCTCGGGGCGATGATGCTGGGACGTGGATCACCATTTGTCGCAATAGCGCCACAATAGTACATTTCTGGAAGGGAGAAGATCCGATGGTCCTCTGCTCTCGCTCCAAGCCGTCTCCTACCCGATGGAGGCCGCGGAGTTAACCGCCTCGCTGTCCCGGGTGGGCCGCCTCGCTGTCCCGCTTCGGCCGCCTCGCTGCGCCGTCACGCGGCTCGCATCGGTCGTTTGTCGAGGAGCGGCGTTCGCCGCCGTCCCTGGGGCTGTCGTTAGCGCCGGTCAGACGGCGCTGGCGTGCGTCCGTCCCGCCGCCGGCTGGCCGGTGTTGGCCGGCGGGCGAGCCCACACTCACGCGGCGGAAGAGCGTATTGATTTCCAGACCAGCACTGTAGCATCGCTGGTCCCGGCGGCGGACATAAAGGTGACGTGTCAGCAGGTACACACGCCTCTAGCTTATTCATGTGCATTGTTTATGTCCGCGTGTCGGAACTTGCGGGCGCATCCGCCTGCGGACAATGTTTTGTGTGCATCCGTTGTAATGAATGATGTATGAACCCGGACGGACAGAAGGATACATCGGTAAAGGACTCGCGCGCTGCGTTCATCGTGCGCCGGTAATTAACTATGTTCTTGAATGGGCACTTGCGGGAAGCCAAAAACTGGCAGCTTGGCATTACCAGCAGCTAGAGGTGCAGCGACCAGATTTCGGTGAAGCGGTGGTGTCACGCAATGCCCGCAGTCTTATGTAGTTCATATGAGCTGCCCCTGGTAGTGTTTGCTGTACGCTTCACATTTGCATGGCATGTGTCCACTTACAGCGTGGTTTCGGAGCTTCCGTTTGCACTGCTCGGCGTGTTCAGGACTCCCGAGTCATCTCACTAGCATGGGCTATTGACATTTTACATTTGTGACGTTTCCCCAAGGCCCATCGTCCCCTGCCACCTGCCGCTGCCTCTGACTCCTTTCTCCAATCGCTCGCTGTCCTTCACCCATTTCGTTTCTCGACTGGCACTGGTGCCCGGCCGGCTTGTTGCTCGTGACTCTTTGTGTGCGCCGCTTTCGTCGAGGTGTTTACCGTACCACCGGTGCGCATCGGTATCGATTGTCGTGCTCCGCGCTGCTGCGATTGCCACCTGCCGAGAGTGGGCTGCTGCGCCGGCCTGCCACGCCAACTCCGGCGTTGTTGAGATTTGGCTGAATTCTGTGTTTGAATTGTAACTCGCTTTTTCACGAAAAGGCGGTGCGGGTCACCTCGGTTCGTATCTGTTCCCCATGCTGGGATAAGGTAGGAGATTGTCTATGAAAGTGGGACCTCTAGCGTTGATTTCATGTACAACTTTTCTGTTCACTATCGTGCAATCACCCGTTGTCCATCCGAATTGAGGCATTATCAGTTCGTATTATGATGAGTTAGGATTTTAGGGCGCGTCGATATCAAAGGTCATGTTGCGCCCGCGTTAGCAGTTTCCACAGTGTCCCCACGTATATAGCATTTGAAAGGGAAACTGCCAACCTTGACCTCTAAATTTAACTGTACACGTGCGCATCTAGACGTGCTTTAGTCGAACTGGAAAGCCCGCTTTGACGCCAGAGCTGCGATTTTCGAATTGGTTCGCAAAAGTTCATGTTTTTGTAGAATAATTCCATCGGCCTTTCCGTTCAATACTCATGAAAGTTGTGTTACCCGGGAGGACTTACGTTTTTAGTTTTGTGGTAGGCGAGGTGAAATCCATCGCGTCGACAACGCCAGAGTCTAACCGCGATGCGTCGCGGGCATCTAGTTAGGGCCTGTTAATCACCTGTTGTGTGGTCGTCCATCAGCCAGCGCTAGGGCGACGAAGACTATACCTGGAGTGAGGCAGTGCTGTCTACGGCTTTGGCTGGCGGCGTAGGGTCTTCGTGATGGTCTGTGTAGCACCCACCGTCACTCCATGGGGCCGAAACATAGGGTCTTCGTGATGGTCTGTGTAGCACCCACCGTCGCTCCATGGGGCCGAAACATAGGGTCTTCGTGATGGTCTGTGTAGCACCCACCGTCGCTCCATGGGGCCGAAACATAGGGTCTTCGTGATGGTCTGTGTAGCACCCACCGTCGCTCCATGGGGCCGAAACATAGGGTCTTCGTGATGGCCTGTGTAGCACCCACCGGCGCTCCAAGGGGCCGAAATCTGCTTAATATGATGGATGGCAAGTATGCGTTGTTCACAATCGGGATATGTAGTGGCTACCCGTCCTGCCGTCGGCGCGTGCAGCCATATTTACGGCAGTAACTGCCCATCGAAGCCGAAATGCTGACATCCGCCCCGCGCTTTGAGAAAGATCTCCAGAGCAGGCTCGTGCCCGCTTTCCAATTACTCAACTGTCGGCCGGTTTCGTGTACAGCTCTCGCTCGGCTGAGAGATGAAGCGCTCAGGCCGTGGTGACCTCTGACCCGCCATCTTCGGCCTGGCGCGCGCCGTCCGGGTCAACACACGACGGAGCGGCCACCTGGCTGAACTCGCCTGGAAGTCACGCTCAGTCAGTTACGCATCATTCTCAAGCAGGCTCTTGCGCTTGTACCAGGAGGAGTGTCCCTGTGACGGGCCCCGGGCGTCGCTGGCTGTCCTCGCCGTGTATCCCGGCAAAACTGCGTCTCCGACGGGCCCCGGGCGTCGCTGGCTGTCCTCGCCGCGTATCCCGGCAAAACTGCATCTCCGACGGGCCCCGGGCGTCGCTGACTGCCCCCATCGTGTGTCTCGGGAGAACTGCAACTCTCACGGACCTCGGGGCGTCGTTGGCTGCCTGTCTCGGCGACCATCGCGGCGCCGCCGGCTGAACGATGGCCGTCCTCAGCTCGCGGCCAAGCGTCCTCGGTTTGTGTGTACGCAGCGCTGCGGCGGACGGCGGCGCCGGAGTGGAACCCGTGGTTTGTGTACGCAGCGCTGCGGCGGACGGCGGCGCCGGAGTTGGACCCGTGGTTTGTGTGTACGCAGCGCTGCGGCGGACGGCGGCGCCGGAGTGGGACCCGTGGTTTGTGTGTACGCAGCGCTGCGGCGGACGGCGGCGCCGGAGTGGGACCCGCGGCGCTGGCGCTGCGGTGCGAAGCGCCGCCGGCGAGACGGCCCTGTTGACGAGCGCGGCGTCCGCTGCTGTTGGGCTCGCACGTCTGTCCTTGGCAATTCTGTTGACGAATCGCGGCGCGCTCTGGAGCGATTCGGTAAATTAGTGGGACGCTCGCTGTGACATGCAAATGAGGAACTCGGGTTCCAGTCGAAGCGACTCAAGCGGGGAAGCCGGCACTCCGACTTTGTCGGAAGGGAGGAACGCCTGAGCCGCGCGCAGTGTTATTTTTCCTGTTCAGTCTACTAAAAATGTTTTTTCAAGAGGGATATGCTGGATTGTTTTTAGTGGACTTTGATCCAGCTTAGGCGCTGAGCAGAGCGTCACTTTGAAGTGTAACACATGGCGCGTTAGTTCACGGTTAAATGTAGGACGGATCGGCTTCGCCTCCCTGTCCGCTCCACTTTGTCCGGGTGTGTTTCGTCTCGACTCGGCTCGGTCGTCGGCTGGTGTCGGGAGCTGACCCAGATGGCTCGCGTCGCACGCTATCATGGTGCGACTGAACAGAAGCTTTGCCGTTGAGAGAGTCTGCATGCAGAGTCGCCACCAGAGGCCATCGGAGACGGGTCCATCGCAGCGTGCGTGACTCTTCAGCGCTGCCTGGTCCTCGGCCCTCGCAGCTGGGTGGGTCCTGACGTCAGGGCCCTACGCTGTCCCCTGTCGGTCGTTGATGACGTCAGTGCCCCTGCGCCGTCCCCTGTCGTTGGCGTCTGGCTCGGTCGGCCGGTCGGACAGCCGTCAGCGACAGCTGATTTTCGCTGATGCGGGCGAGCTGGTGGCTGACTGCAGTAGATGTGGACTGTATTTTTCATTTCATTTCACTTCAGCTCAAACCAGTTCAGTTGAGTTTGCTGCGTTGTCGTCCCCGACGGGTTCCTGGCTTTTTATAAGCCAAAGTCAAAATGAGAGTAAAACAACAGATGAAGGAGGAATAGGCAGCCAACATCCCACTTCCAAAAGTTGCACATGATACAGAAATGACGGACAATCACTCCTCTCCTCTGGACTGTGAGTTTCTGACGTCCGTTTGGAACTGGAACACGTCCTTGTGTTTTGCGTGGCCAACGGCAGGCAGTTGAAGACATGCGCTGGTTGATCACTGGGCCTAGGTTTCCTCGCATCGGACCTACTCTTGGCAGCTGGTGTTTCCCGACTTGACCCAGGATGCATTGTTCTGAACGTGCACAGCATTTGGCGCCAAATTGCCCATGTGCAGGGACGGAGTTGGTCCGGCTCAGATGATATTGCGTAGGTCGATTTTGGGCTCACAGGATGACTGGATGTCTCGTGTGAAATACGGTCGTGCGCCCTTGTGTCTGTTAAAACGCTGTTGGATAAGTAAGCCGTCTTTGAGGCCGGCAAATCTGCGGTACTCCAACGCGCTCTACAAACGGCGACGAGACTGGCGCCTACGGCTTGCGGCAGTACGGAGCGTGGCTCGAGGCGACCGACGTAGGCGGGGACAATCGATGGACGTGTACACTTAGAGACCATTTGATCGATGTGTGGCTGAAAGGTGAAGTCCCTGTCTACGTTGAGACCAACGTTTTGGTCTACTCCGGTTTCATTAATTTCAGTTTTGGTTGTGTTTTTAGGGACGCAACGAAGCAGAGCCTGCAGGCTAGGTAATATAAATCCGTTTGAATGGAGTTTCCAAGCTTTTGCCGCGTCAGGTTTCGCTCTGTGCGGATTTAACTAGTCAACGAGATAAGTGCGGCTTGCAAATGCCAGAAGTTGTCCACAAGATGGTTCGTGCGGCCACAGACAGGCAGTTGTGTGTCGTCAGTAAAATGAAGCATGACATGAGTGCCAGTGAACTGGTCCACTTCGTTCGAAGGGATGGAGAGAATCGGAGAGTTTGACTACCACCCAGGTGCACGGCCGGTGGCGTTTGGTAGCGACGTTGCCATCGTCTCAGATCCACCCTTGGCTTGCCAAACAGTTTTCGTCATCTCTCACATCGAAACGTTTGGAGCAATCCCAAAACAACGAAAAGCTGTATCCGTAGTCTATCGCCCGTCGTACAGATATCGTCGATAGTGTTTCAGCCACCGTGCAAGGGCGATTAAAACAGATGTGCCGCTGGAAATCATCTCCGATCTGGCAGACCTCAACACATGTCAGGATCTGGCGATCGCGGGCTTTGGGCGAATGGGCGGCTGGAAGGCGCCGCTTTGGTACCGGCGTTATTAATGCATGCCTCCACCCTCGTCACAGCATTCAAGTTATTAAACCGGCATCCGTGAGATTGTCAGCACGTGGCAACAGCTTAAAATACATCCTTGTGTCATGAATACACCCACCCCATCGACTCCGAGGGATTTTGAAGGTTAGTGGCTGCCACAGCTACACCCCCATCATTCATCATCACGGAGCCCGTCCGCATGCTGCGTACAGGTGGTGAGGTTCACGAGAAGGCCTGAAGGGCACAACCAGATGTGGCAGTGGTACACCACTGACTGCGTGTCGCACATGACTTGTGCCGTGTTGTGCTGCGTTATTACGATGCAGGCCGTCCCAGCATATATATATATATATATATATATATATATATATATATATATATATATATATATATATATATAATTTCTGTGATGGTGTTTTTTTTACTGATGATGCGAGCGAAAAGCCCACATTGGAGGTGCCATTTTTCCAGTTTATGGAGACTGACTCACTCGCTGTAATGTCTGCCGAGAACCGTTTTTGAAATTAACCGAGGTGTCGTGTTACCATTAGGCCTTGGCACCACCTGCTACTTGTCTGCTGCACCGGGCGGAAGTGAGGCCCAGGAGAGCCATCACTGTAACATTGCTGCCGCGCGCCGGCGGCTGCCATGGGCCCTGGGCGCTCGTAGCCTGCAGGGCCTCCGTGCCCCGTCGTTCAGCGATGCTGCTGACAGTCGGGTCGCTCCGCTGCTCTGCGATATGACGGCGGAGAGGGGAGGGCGCCTGGCACGAGTCGCCACTCCGGGACGGGGCCCATGCCGTTCGGGAGGCGTACGGCTCTGGTGGCGCTTATCTGACGCGCAGCTCTCCGGCCTGGGGCCGATAAGTGGACTATGGTCCATCCCGGCCGGTGTGAGCTTGGAGCGGCGGTCGCGATATGCGACCGGGGAACACGGCAACCGAGCCAGCGCGCCAGGCATGCTCCACAGACTTGATGCTACCGCTACCTAAATGCTATCGCAATGGGTCAAAAAGAAACGGCACGTGAGAACAGTGCAAACTCATCTAGAATCCAATTGTTTTATGCATTTGTAGCCTATGTTTAGTTGATGTGTATTTCTGGCAAATCGTCCAGATTCACTGAGACGAGAGAGCAGTCGACGGAAGCTGTAGAGTGGCGCAATATCCCTTCAAATTACGACTTCTGCCAGCTAAGCCATCATTCAAACAGTGTGACATAGAGCGCCCAGTGCCGTCACAGTTGGCATGGGAGCTTATCGCGTCCGCTTATGAAATTGGTACCGTCACATATGACTGCGATTTTCCTCCGAGGCTTTGTTCTACGCGCGCGTTATTGGATTCCCAGCCGGCGGGTGCGGACTGCACCTGTTACTTTCAACATCCCGATTATGTTTGCCCGAGCTCGGCACGACCAACCGCAATGCCGTGGACACGCGAAACTTGCCGTAGCGCCACGGAGAAGACTGGTGTGTTTGAGAGTGAGTTACTGTAATCTCAAGCGCGGTCGCGCCTATACGTATGTCTTCTCGCCTTCCGTTGTGGCGTTCTATGGTGCGTGCTCCATCTAGTTTGGCACGTATCATGTGACGAGCGTGGTTGGCCGCTGCTGTGCTGTGCCGTGCGACCCTTACTGTCCAGTGTCGCTGTCCCCGCTCCTGCTGGCTCCACGTCCCGCCGGGTACCGAGAGCTGCCGCCGGCTCTGGCTGTCCCGCCCCGTCCCCGCCTCTGGCGTGGTCGGGCTGGACGGCCGACTGGAACATGCACTGGCTTGCTGAAGTCCACTCCAGCCACAGGACGGCGAGCGCGGTCACGCTGCCTGGCCTGCGTCAGCTGGAACCGGCACCACTATCCGCCCCGCCGCCGTCACCGGTGTCCGGCCGCCTGTCTTCCGCTGTCCCCCTCAGCTCGGGTGGGCTGGAATCGCTGCCCACCCCGCCGCCGTCAGAGCCCCGGGTCGGCGGCTCGGCGGCGGACCAGCCCCCACCGGCCGTCCTTGACCAGCACCAGCGGGCTGAGTGCCGCACCGGCCGGCCAGCGCCTCGGCTCGCACGCGCGCGCGCGCACTCACGCCGCTAACAGCTGCTATGTTTTTCAGCGGCGCCTTCTCACAGGTCAAGGTGGCCGAGAAACGAAGCGACCCCGGCAAGCTGTACGCCATCAAAATCATCGACAAAAAGGCGCTCAAAGGAAAGGAGGATTCGTTAGAGAATGAAGTCAAAGTGTTGCGGAGGTGAGACGGCGGATAATGAGGTGGTCCAGCAGGCCATAGGTTGCCGAGTACAATGCCGAGGTCCAAGGGTTGCGTGGGTGTGATGGTGGGATAATGAGGTAGTCGAGCTGGTGATGAATTGCTGGACGGCGAACCCGTTTCTTCTGACTGTTAATAGTGCCGGGTCGTTGTGACCGAGGCGTTTTTCCTGTCGCTCGACTCGACCCCCCGAGTGCGTTACGCTTGGCACCGACGCCCCAACACGCTTGGCACCACTGCCCCAACGACGCTGGCCTTTCGGTGAAGGCATGGGCTGCTCACCGCCCACCGCTGCTCGGCCGCCCAGTGCCCAGACCTAACTGAGGTCCATCGCCGTTTCAGACTACGTCACCCGAACATAGTCAACCTGTTAGAGACGTACGAGGACAAGCACAAGGTGTACCTAGTCATGGAGATGTGAGTAGACCGAGCGGCCGGCGGCCGCGCGCCGACACCACGGTCGATGCGTTGGCTTCGACGCGGGCGCGTCTGCAGTGGCTGGCGGCGGTTATTTCCGACCGGCAGTCGATACGGTCGCACGTGAAGGCGCCGCCTGCACCTGTCCCGCACGGCCCGGTCGCGACCGCCGCCGCCGCCACCACCGCCGCCGCCGCGGCCCTGACTACTGATGGCCGCGCCCCCGCCGATGTGGGTCAGAGTCGCCACACCGTGACGCCACGCTTGCCCGGCACCCATGTTTATGTATGATGCAAACGCGAGCATCTGTCGTGCGCGCGCGAGACCGCCGGTTGCGTTCGGCCATGCATCGATTGGCGGGCGACGCGCTGGCCCTGGCCGACGCGGCGGCTGTGGCCAGGCTGCCACCGCCGCCGCCGCCGCCACCACCACCGCGCCCCAGCGCCAGTGAAAGTGTAGCGGACCAGCCGCCGCGCGCGGTCGCCATCGGTGGGGTATGGCCGCTGCGCTCCGAGGCCACCGCCGGCTGGGCTCGGCTGTCGGCGGCGGCAATTTGGCGTGACGCGTGAGGCTGCGGGCGTCTCGGCTCGCCCCGCGGCCCGCCGCTTCTGTGTTTGCGCCGCGTCAGAGCGTGAGCGACACCGTTCACCGACACCGTCAGCGTGTGACGCTCTTGCCGACAAAGTTGCGGCTGAAGGAGTGGTCGAGCAGCGCATTCCCGGCCGGGGTGCGATAGCCGCCGGCGCCAGGCCCGGCGTCGCGTGACGCAGCTGCCTGCGCGCGGGGTGTTGTTGTGCCGCCGGCGCCGCAACCTCGGATGCGGTCCGCTGCCCGCGGCGGCGGCGGCGGCGGCGGCGTGGCCGACAAACATGGCGGCTGCCGGCAGCGTCACGTTTTCAATATCCGTCTGCATCGCACGGGGAGGGCGTGCCGAGGGGCGGCCGCCGCTCTGTCGGGGCCAGGTCACGCGTCGACAGCGGCCGCGCCTCTGGGACGGCGTGCCGTCATGACGAGAGAGCGGCGGCGTCCAGACGGGTGCCCCGGCGCCCGCCGAAGCCGAGCGGAGCCTGCCGGAGACTGGCCGCCGGCTTACGGCATCTGGTCAGAAGCTGGGTGCGGCCGAAGTGGTGACGATCGTGCGCTGGGGATCGACGCTCTGCCTTACGCGTGCCGATTGCGTTCGCTCGCTTGGCTCCGGCACTCTTCGCTGGAGCCTGGGTCACCAGAGTCCGTTGGCGCGCAGCCCCATGTGCACCATTTCGGGCCCCACATGGGCCTCTCACTTGCACGTGGGCCTCACGGAGCCAGGTTTAGTCCCGGCCGGCCCAGCGCCGTCCACGACAAGCCGACTATCGGCCCACGACCGGCCCACGGCCGGTGCGGCGGTGGCAGTGCCGATGTTTACCATAGGCGGCCGCTCGCGGCGCGCGCCGCGGGCGATCGCGGCGGCCGGCACCGCCCTCTGTTTATCACCGGCCCCATTGTTGCCGCCGTTGTCGTCGCGCTCGGCGGCCGGCGGCCGGCAGCCCGACCGCCGAATTGGACCGAGGTCACGACCCAGCCGGCGCGCCGCCCACGCAGCCGACTCGCCAGCGGCGGAGCGAGGCGCCGCGGCGCCGGGCGCTGCGTCGCGCCGCAGCTCCAGGGGACCCTGCCGGGCTCTCGGCGCCGGATTCGGCGCTGGATTCGCCCCACGTGCCGGCGCGCCGACCGGTGGTCTATGATAATGAGGCGCGGCGCGGCCGCGGCCGCGGCCGCGCTGAAGGGCCGGCGCGCTCACTTTCTCCAGCGATTTTCTCTAGGTCGCCGTCGGCGCGGAGACGCGGCCGTCAGCGCAACTGTTCAAGTCGGGCTGCCACAACGGTGGCGCCGAGGGAGTGGTGCCGTCTGGCTACCCCCTCTCAGGCGTCGCGCCAGCTGGGCCGCCCCGCCCTGGCTGGAATAGCGAGTACGGCGATCCATGAAGCCGAAGGCGCCGCTGCCAGGCTTATGCAGAGCGTACGCCTCAGATGGGCTCGAAATGTCAGGCTATAAACAGAGGCCTTCACCGTGGGCGTTCGCAGGGGATGGAGGCCGGATGGTGGCGGTGGCTGGTGTGGGGCCATGCGAGGGCTAATCAGATGGGTTCTTAGGGCCGGAAATGGCGGTGCCGGTTCAGTGGGGCCAATGAGCAGCAGGCGGAGGAGCCTTTGATACCAGGATTAGACAGTGGATGTAAGACCAGAGGGACTCGAGGACACAACGGACCGGAAATCTGGCAGGGGTTGGCCGGTAGATGTAAGACCAGGGGGACTCGAGCACACAACGGACTGGAGATTTGGCAGGGGCTAGCCAGTGGACTTTAGACCAGAGTGACCCGGGGACACATCAGACCAGGGACCTGACAGGGACCTGACAGGGACCTGACAGGGTTTAGCCGGTAGATGTAAGGCCAGAGGGACTCAAGGGGATAGCGGACCAGAGATCCTGACCCTATGGTCGTTATGAGACCGAGCGGACGCATCGATAGGGTTTACCGGACCACAAAGTGACCGACTGCTATAACTTGTGCGCTCAGAGGCGACTGATGGGAAGAGGTCTTCAGGTTTAAATAGCCCTGCACCGAAGGAGCTCTCGGAGCCTGATTTACTGCAGACAGAGTCGTGGGGGCTCGAGCCGACGCCGGGAATCGACGCCAGTCAGTGTGTACGGGCCGCGACCCGGCCGTGTCGTCAAGGGCCGTGGCCTCCGGAGTGTCGTCTCGCGCCGGGCTGGGTCGGTGCCACCGCACCGGCGAGCGCGGCCACCGGGCGCCGCCCAGCACCGGCGAGCGCGGCCACCGGGCGCCGCCCAGCACCGGCGAGCGCGGCCACCGGGCGCCGCCCAGCTCCGGCGAGCGCGCCCGCCCGACGCCTCCACGCCGGCCGCTCCCCCTGGCAGATGGGTGGCCGGCCGGGCGTAATCGCGGCGGTGACTGCCGGCGGCACCACTCTGCCTGATTTGTCCCCGCGCTGTCCTAAACATGGGAAAGCTTTTCTCTTGGCTCACATAGTTACAGCAAACATGGGAGGGCGCCGAGGAATGGGCTCTGGCCGAAGCTGGCCGGGGTTCCGACGGAGGTCAAGAGGCGGGCAGGCCGGGCGCCATCGCCGGCAGGTCTAGCAGGTGTCAGCGGCAGGTGGCCACAGTCGGGCTCTGTCACAAATGCCATGCAGTCAGCGCTCAGGGGTAGTTATGACTGCCATTACCGCTGGTAAGTGCCCCTGTGTTATCATGGCATACAGTAAACAATTCATTTGGATTCGATTACAGGCATGACAAGCTGGTCGATGCTGTAAGCGGCGCTATTTGGCGCGTTGCGGCGGTATGTGTCTAGCCATTTAGCTGGGATGGACCAACAAATTTGACGCGTGCGTTACGGCAAGCCTTTGGTGCTGCCAGCGCCCGGTGGAGCACGTCCTTTGGTGCTGCCAAGCGCCGGTGGAGCACGTCCTTTGGTGCTGCCAGCGCCCGGTGGAGCACGTCTTCTCCTCCAGAGCCCAGGTCAACAGATATGCTTTGTCTCTGCTCCCGTGCCACGGCTGCCTGACAAAAACATCTAGCTGCTATCAGCGGGCCCAAGAGCGTGACTGGCGGTGGGCGGAAGCAAGGGAAGGTCGGTGCTGGGGGAGGGGAACCCAGGCGCAAGCCCGGGATCTCTGACGTGGTGAGCACATCTGTGTTCGACTCGATTTTTTTAGCCGTCTCAGGACCGGCTCACAGATGTTGGGACCCAGTTCAGCTCATCGCTTGCATTGTTTGGCTCATGACTCGCGCGGCTCTCAAAAAGACAGATCGAATTCGGTCCCAGCTCAAGTGTGTCGGGGCGTGCTGTATTTTCTGGTGCTATCAGTGCAATTTGAGTTAATGTCGCGCTGGCATGACATTGTTGGAATGATCGGCCCACGATTCAGGTCATGCAAGTGTACGAATGCTGTGATTCAGCTAATGGCTCGAAGTGGCATTTTTCCTAACGAGCCGACTCAGCTCGCGGCTCACCCCAAAACGACCGGCTCGTGAGCCAATCCACGACCCAGCTCGGAGTCGAACGCAAGGCTGATGGTGTGATAGTTTGTCTTTCTGTGGCTTAGTTGTATTGAGTTATGGTCAGGAAAGCCATCAATTCGAGACCATACGTAAAACATGGTGATGTTGCCGATGGATTGGAATATTCCGAACAGCTGCTTAGCAAAAGTAGAGTTTTTGATTTCGATTTCAATTCACACAGCGTGTTTCAGCTTCGTTCTGCTGAAGAATTGTTTTGGCGATGCGTGGATAAAACCGGAGTGAATTTTGTCGAAGAAAGTTTTTTATCTTGTTGAGCAAGAAGTCTTAATTCTGCGGGAAGAATGGCGTGAAAATAACCCTGTCAGCGGGATACGTTGAGCTCTTGACAAGTATTGTGCGAAACTGGCAGTGCAGTCCGAATCGGACGCGTGCTCTCTGTTTACGCACGCGTACAGCTAAAGTTAGATCTGAAACGCGTCAGCTCCCCTTTAACGAGGCGAACCAATTCAACGCTCTGTTTGGTCGGACGGTCTGATAGCGCGCCGTTGGGCGAAGGCTGTACGGGACGCTCTTGACAGGCGCTGATAGCACTCACGTAGTGCGAGTTAACTTCCCACCTTGTACTGGTGGCGGTGCGTCTTCGAGGCGAGGCACAGCTGCTGGGTTATTGGCACATAATGTTGCGCCACCGCACCTATGCAGTGCAATAGGGCAATCATAAGAAAGCAGGACGGACGCTTGGACGGAACGGAAGCCTTCCAGTGATCTACAATTTCTTGGTTTTTGAACGAGAGTGATGCGCGTCTGTAGAAATGCAGGCTGTGGCCTCGGCCGCGTGGCTTGAGTGCACTGACCAGTCTGCTTCCGCTGCGCTCGCAGTCCCGGGCACGGCAAGCTCCTGTTACTTTGCAGCACCGGGCACGGCAAGCTCCCGTTGCGACGCAGCAGCCGTGCGCGCCACCGGTGGGATACCG